AGGCACAAAGCTCATTTCTGGAACTGAAACTTTTTTCCTCAAAAACAGAGCACAGCTGCTTGTTAGAGTTGAGTGTAAGCTCCTGCTGTATTCAGAGAACGGTTGTATTTTTCAGTCCCTCTTGAAATACATTCAACCACATCCCCAAGTTCTGACCCGTGGGACACGGGGAGAAGTCATATGCATATCCCAGCCTATCCCATGAAAGTTATTCATGAATATGCTAATCTGCTATGCCCTTCCCCAGTCTGTGACTGGGTGGAGAGAACTTTGAAATGGACAGCCTGTCTTGGTTACTTTCTTCTCATTGCTGACACAAAATACCTGATGCCCAGAATTAAGTAAGGAAAGATTTATTTAGCTCACAATTTGTGGAGGTTTCAGCCTGTACTTGGCTGGCTCCAAGGCAGAGCAGCACATGGCAGAAGGCAACAGTTCATGGCTGCAGGAGAAGACAACAAAAGCAAAAGATGAAAAAGGTGAGGCGGGGAGACAAGCCTCTTTCCCTCCCTTACAATGTATGCAAACTACCTGCCCCAAGGCGGGTGTAGCACTCACACCCAAAATCCCAGCACTGGACCATAAATCAATTTTGAACTCTAGAAGCTGCCCCATGACTGCATGAGGCTTTGAGGGGACATCCAGACACAAACCATAACATAGCCTCAAGACAGAGGAAGTCTGTTACCCTGAATTAATCGTGAAGGAGAATTATGAAAGACAAAGAAAGATGAAAGTTTAAACACAAATACACACACTTGTCCAATTACAAGGGCCAAGACAACCTTGAACAGGGTGAAGACTAAGAAATATTCACTTTGATCCAGGTATGACAGTTCTTGCCTTAAATCCCGGAGCTTTCGGGGGATAAGTCAAAAGGATCACAAGTTCAAGAGCAGGCTCGACAACTTAGTGCTTTACCGAGACCTTAATCTCTTAATAAAAATAACAATAAAAAAATCTGAGGATGTAACTCACTGTGAAGCCCTCAGATTCAATCTGCAGTGCCACAAAACAAGAAAGAAATATTCAGTATTTGAAGGAAAGAGACTATGGACAACTATGAGCCTGCAGTTCATTGGCCAAGATGAACAGAAATTGGCTGTGACGTCCCAGTTCTCTCCCCCAGTTTCAGGGGGCTAAGCCCAACTTCACATCTGGAGGTGCTGTTGACTCAGTCCTGCATAATCAACCTATTTAACCTGCTGGGCTCCCGAATATACACAGATTTGTAACCAAAAGAGGCATGAAAATGAGTCCTGAGATTTGCTAAAAGCAGTAAGGTGTAAGGCTCCTAATAGATGCACCATACAGAAATATCAGCCTGGAGCTGAGGGGGCCTCCCTGAGGATGAACCCTCCTTCACAATAAAGCCAGCATAATACAAAGCAAATCTGAGAAATAGAGAATCCTTCCTAGTGACACTTTTTGAACACTCACATCCAACTGTTTCTGATATGTGGTGACACTGAACTTTGGAGAAGGACAGGTGAAAATTTTCCTTCTCTGTCAGGGAAAAGGAAGTTAGGTTTCTGACAATCACAACCAAAAGGACCATTTTGAGGTCTTTTACTTAAGACCCTGTGATCTACATCTGCAGGTAGTTAAAGAAGTTCCAGATAAAAGGACAATGGGAAAGAAAGGCTGTGAGGCAAGATATCTCCAGTCAGAGGTCAGACTATCACTCACAGGAACATATAATGCTCAGCCTCATCCATACAGGACACTCAGGAGGTGCTGCTGACAGATGTACAGGTCCTACAGCATGTAACACCTGACCACAACTCTGATGTCCTACACCACCTCAACACCAAACTTCCTTATAGCCAGCATTACAAGGTACCAGTAGAACTGAGGAAGCTATGAATAACAAAGTCAGAAAAATAGGCAATAACTGGAAATAACCCGGGCAAAAGTGAGCATATATTTTTTCTGAACATAAGTGAGAACATTTTTATATATTCATGTACAAACTAATTCAAATGCCAGGAAGAATATTTAATTTTTATTTCAGCTCTGTAGAAAACAAATAACACTAGAGGAAAGTATGTGTATGTGTAAACATAAGTATTACCCAGTAAGATACTTTCATTCCTCCTAAGATCGAGTAACTTGTGTGCAAAGGTAGAACATTGAATTTTTATGACACAATAGCGTTGAGAGAACCTTCACTCCTACAACCATCTTTTGGAAATAATTATACCTCAAAATAATTAAAAGGGGCAAATCTAGTCCTTCCTTCCTCGGTTTCTTCCTTCTGTCAATCCCTTCTTCCTGCCAGGCGTGGTGGTGCACACCTGTAATCCCAGCACTGGGGAGGCTGAGGCAGGAGGATCATTGTGAGTTCAAGAACAGCCTGGGCTACAAAATGAGCTCAAAGCCAGCCTGAACTGCATAGCAAGACCCTGTCTCAAAAAGACAAAAAGAAAAGAAAAAAAAAAAACCTTCTTCCTTTCTTTTTCTTTTTTTCTTCACCAGTAAGGAAATATTTATTGAGACTTCAATGCTCCATTCGCTGTGCTGAGACACAAATTAGTCACTGAGATTGAGGACGAAAAGAGAGAAAAACAGAAAACTGAAAGAGATAAAAGAAAAACGAGAAGAGCAAGTAGCTCAGAGCAGGAAACAGAAAGATGTGGTATAGCTGGCTATGAAAGACAAGCTCATGATGACTTATGCTGCATGAAGGTAGAGAATTTAAAGCAAAGAGGTAGAATTAATGCAAATCTTAAAACGAGAGGCCTGGCGTGCTGTCTTTTTATCTGTAGTGAAGTCAAGAGGCAGACTTTCCAGTATGTAAAAGATATGCCTCTGAAGATTGTGGATGCTATAAGGCTGGAATTCACAGAGAAAATACTAACAGTGATGGTTAAGTTTCACTGCAGCCCTGCTATATTATGGGCACTGTTGTATGTACTTTTCATATTTTAATTCACATAATTCTCAGACAACAAAAGTTAAGTATGATATTCAATCCTATTGTATATCATAGAAAAAAAGGTGCTACAATTAAAAAAATCTGTTCAGTGTCATAAAGATTTCAGTATTGCTTGGATTCAGGCCCAGGTTCTCTCCTTTGAAAGCTGAACAGGAAATCCCGGAATTATAAGACCTCCTTCAGCTGAATGAGTCCTTAAGAAAGTGAATAAACTTAGGACATATGTGAAGAAATAAGATATAAGGTATATATGTAGAGTAATGGTTTTTATTTTCTGATCTTGTAACACTGTGACTGCAAGATCCAGGGAGAAGAGCAAAGGATAAATCTAAGGCATAGTAGTTGGAATATCATTTAGATTACATCAGAAAAGAACTCAAAGTTACATAGCAACAAGTAATAATACAGAATGTGAGTGAGCCTGAAGCAGGTTTATAATAACAAAAGAGAGGCCAAAGTAGAAAATGAGATTCAGTAGATCAGAGTAAGACAGAATATTAATCACTACATAGCAAACATCATAAGTTTTAGCACCAACTTCCCAGCATATTGATATGCTGCATCCAGATGGTAGCAACACCCTAAAAGCGTAGCGAAGAGCCTAAAGCCAAGGGCCCAGCACCTTTTATAGTGAGCAGTAAAACAGCGCAGTCCTCAGGCTCTGCAGAGAAAGTGGTCACACTTCAACCACTCTGCAGTCTCCCTCATGTACGTAAATGCCTCAGTGACTAACAGAGGAGGCTGTTTCACACCCAACAAGAATGGGTAAAGACACTCTGGTCATGAACTACAGCCTCTCCTAACAGAAATGACATTAATCAAGACAGAAGCTATATGCACTGCTACTTTTCAAGGAAAAACTAATACTCTCCATGTGCTGAATTTCAGATCTTGCAGGATATATAGTGAGAGCTACTTTCCCAGAGCCAGTGAGTAAGGGCTGGCAACTGACATAGAGGAATCATCAGCATGTAGCTGAATTCATGGCAAAGATAAAACTGAATAAGACATTTTTGGTACCCACTTAAATCCACGGGAAGTAAAACCAAATTTCTCCACCTTCTGCATGTATTTTCCACTTAGCTCTCAGGTCCAAGTTAAGCATGATCTTTAGCATGGACCCTGGAACAATACAGGTTCATATTAGAAATTGACACACTAATTGTCATCTTTATGGACTAAATAAAACAAAATATGATTTTCTATGAAATGTGTTCCCAGATCATTTTATTTCTGTGTTTAAATTCTATTAGTACTGTTCATTATGCCCCATGTGTATATCATCTTTTGTAAGTCATTTCTCATCTAAGTTTGGCTGTTTGGGGAGCTTTTTAATGACAGCAGGCACTGAGACAACTTCTTTGTACGCCCCATAGCTCTGAAAGAGTGGCTTTCCCAAGGGTATCACTAAATAAAGGCCTTCATTTTGACACAAGCAAGCAAAAGCATAATGTATATTTGATGTTTATGTCTGTGTCACTAAAAGACAGGAAAAATCAAAGTAATTGCTGTCATATTTGAACACATTATGTGTGTGTTCATCACAATACCCACCTTATTATGTACATTATCTCATTTAATATTATTTAATACCTGTAGAGCAGCAAGGGAGGCATTATTGTACTCTCTGGACAGAGGATGAAACTGAGATACAAGGAGAATATGTCATTTGTCTAGAAAGAGACACTAAGTGCCAAAGGTGTGTTCTGTGCCTTGTATACCCAGCTCCAGAGTCTCTTTAATAAATGGTGCTGGAAAAATTAGCTTGCTACTTGCCAAGGACTAAAAATAGAAACGGCTATCACCATGCACCAAACTCGAGTCAAAATGGATCACAGATCTCAATATTAAAACAGAAACACTAAATCTAAAGAGAAAGTAGGTAAAAGTCTTGAAGACATAGGGGTAGGCAGAGAGTTCATGAACAAAAACCAAACCACAAGGGAAATACTTTAAAGAATCAACAACTGGGATCTCATCTCACTGAAAAGTTTTTGCACATCTAAACAAAGCCCATGTAAAACTTACAGGTAACTTGTTTACCTTTTTAAATGCTGCTTTTTTACTTTATGAAAGACATAGCTCTTGCCTTCTTGACATCATGAATTAAGGTTTTAAGAACAAGCCTATAACTTTGTAGAACAGCTCTTTCCCAGGTCACAACCCCTGAACAAGCTTCAGACAAAGACAAAAAGTGAGCAGATGCCACACAGAGTCAGGGATGTCTTTGACTTTGTTCTAAGTCCTAGGTCTGTGCAGCTCGTGCCTCACAGCAAGATGCTTGCTGCTCCATCTGTCCTGCTAAGCACAAAGGGTCTGCAGTTGATGTAGGCAGTTCCAACAATTCTCCCTCCTCTTGACAACCTGAAAATAAGGGATTTTACCTACTTCATGCTTTTATCAAGGTAGCATTATCATTAGTGGTAAATAGTCCTTAATTTTCCATCCCTGGAAGAAGGCTTTCATCTCAAGCTGTTGCCTGGCAACTTCCTCAGACTAGGGACCATTACCACACAGGTAAGGTGGCTCTCTCTTATACAGGCTTCTTCGCATCCTCCAAAAGAATCCTAGTAGCCTGAGGTTCCTCCAGCAATCATACCAGTGTCTAACTTCGCTGTATATTTGTTTGCATTTTATAAATGACTTGATTTATGCTATTTCCTACCAATAACCATTTATAGTAAATATTAGAGTGATTAAAACATAACACAGTTGAAAATCATTAATCGATGTTCACAGAATCCCTGGGAGAAGCCCTGTGTCCCTACTTCTCACATCTGGAACAGAAACTTAGAGAGTTTGAGGGACACACACAAACTTACTCAGAAAATGCGAAATGTGGGATGTCAGTTTCACTCTTATTAATCTGTTTATAGCAAATTTGTCAGGGAATAGTATGCTTGACATTGTGTTGGGCTTTACTATACCTCTCCTCCATATATGTTATCTGAGTTTATGCGCTTAGCAACCCTGCTGTGGAGGGAAGGTACGCAGTATTCTTTCGTTTTATCGAAGAAACTGAACCTCAAGCTCATCATTCCTTTTGGTGCATCACTGTGTGGTATTTGTTCCAGAAAGTTCCACTTCACAGCTATGTCTTTCTTGTCAGAAAAGATATGGCTCTATACATTGTCAAAGGAATGTACAGTAAGTAGTAAGAGAGGGCAAAGGGCATCTAGGAGACCCAACAATCGCCCAGGGGAGAGCCAGTTGCAGTGGGGAGCCTGGATTACCTAATCCAAGTCTCAAAGAGCATGGCATCAGTCAGTGCTTATTGCAGAAACAGATATAAAGTACACAAATCTATAAGAATTTGCAAAATTGGCTTACAGTGGTTGCCCACAGAGTTGGGTGAAGAAGAGTGCAAAAGGTCTGTCTGTGCCCTGGAATCCAAAAGATCCAGTCGAAGGCCTGGTGCTCATATAGTGACCCATACGCGTCCTTTTCAGGAGGCTGAGGCTCTACAATGGAAACCAGGAGACAGCAGCCAAAGTGAGAGTGAAGACCTGAGCTCCTCCAAACAAAGGCAATCCTTCCTCTCTCCTTTCTCTCTATGACTTTCCAGCAACAATCTTCCCTATGGTGGGTCTTCCACACCCAGAACTATGCAGGGCCAATTTAGTTGGGCACTGCATACTCAAACTGACATAATCAACCATCATAAACAGTAATTGAGTACCTAACCCCGGCCTCTGCAAAACCCTTGTGGCATAACGATAGATGTCCTGTAACAAAACCGTGGCCAGTCTCTAAGAGAGGTGATTGGCTATTCACTTGACAAGCCCAAGGCCTGCTTTGATAATTAAAGATGGGTGACCTTGAGCTGTTTCCCTGTTGTGCTGACAACATTCCTTTTTTTTTTTTTTTTCCAGTACCGGAAATCCAACTCACGACCTTGTGCTTGCCAGGCAGGCTCTGTGCTGCTGAGCTAAATCCCCAGCCCCTAGCACAACTTTCCTTATCCAGAAAATAGGAAAGCAACACTATCTACATCATGAAGAAGGGGAGGGATGGACGGAGACTAAGAATGCAGGTCATGTACACATTCTGCTTACACAGTTTTTGCCACCAACGAGAGAAAATGAAGTGAGTACTCACTTGTTGATGAGATGGTGATGTGTGTATGGAGGTGTTCTGGAGGCTGAAGTTCACTCTGTCTGTTGCCTTCTTCTCTCAACTGATTGTGAGCTGAAAGGAGCACCCGGACTCTGCACTGTGCAATCTCACACTGATATTGGCCGTGACAACATGCAAGGCAGTTTCAAAGGAATTAGTTCACCACGGGGTCACAGCCATTCAGGTGAGAGAGAGAGAGAGACGCTGTAGAGTGATTGCCATAGTCCTTCTGTCTGGTTTGCGTTATGCCCTCACCATATGCACCTGCAAGACAGGAGAGAGCCATGCTTATGGTGATGAATGACAGCGGAGAACCCAGAAACAATCTTGGAAAACCCATTCCTTCTGCACTGGCAGCCCTTACACTAAGCTGAGGCACAGATTCTGAGAGTAAGAAAATATCAGAATTTATCTGCTCAGGTTCCATCCAGTTCAAGACCTTGCTGTGATGATAGCGATGTCTGGGATTTCCATGTAATATTAAACAGACCTTTACTTTGCTAGAAAATTTTCTGAGTGCAGTCAAACTTAACTTCCAGGCTCAAATTTAACTATTTAACCTAGAAAGTCAGGATTCCTTTCTCCTGTATTTACCCAGACAGGAGGCATTTTTTCCAGCTAATAGGACTTGCTCACTGCCGGTAGGGAAGTAAACCTACCTTTCAAGATGCCACAACCTGCTAACTTGCCTCCTTTGCAATGTCTTTTCATTCCTTTTAACTCAGGCAATGTGTATCCATCTTGTAAGGTACAATATGGTTTCCTCATAAGGGACCCCTCTCTAGCTCCTACTCCTTCTTTCTCACCTTTGAATTTTAAGGACATACTGTTAACGCAATTTGTTGGCCATAAATAGAGAATTATGACATCATAAACATATATTCCTGTCTGATTACCCTACCATCTTGCCTGTTCCTGAAGTCAAGAAAGGGCCATTCTAATTTTTGTCACCTGTTTTATATAGACTGGTACGCATACACAAATTGACAAATATTTGTTGGGTAGAGAATTTAAATTAAGAGGGAAATAATATTTCTTGATATTGTGATTGATTTAGCACAGAATTAGTGTTCCAGATAGTTAATAATGATAGTGCCTATTGAACAGAGCTTCGTTATTTGCCAGGCACTGTTCTACATGTTTTGCAAGGTTTATCTAATCTTGTGAATGTAGTATTTAATTTAAGAAAATTGGAGGAAAATAAAAGATAAGAAAGTTTGCCAAAGAGGAAGCCCTGGCAAGATAATAGAATATAGCTTGCTTTTTTGGGCATCTGAGTTCAGACTGCACAACGAGGGCTCTGTGTAGCTCTTCAGTACTTGGCTGATGCTGGGATCCTTTAAGAGCTATGGTTCCTCACTAAATGAGTCGAGTTACTGATGAGAGTCTTCACTGGAAATAATCCAGGGAGGAAAGTTTTTCTCACCTCAGAGTCCTGGAACATAATTAGAACTAAATAGAGGATTTCTAACACAATTTAGATGCTGTCATTTCCATAGTGAAGGAAAAAGTGGTACCAAATGCATCTATTTTTATACCTGCTCCCACTAGTTTAGCCCCAAATCTCCTTTCCATGATTATGCATATGCCTTTCTTGCAAAATATGCAAATACCTAAATAACCTAAGTAGGTTATTTATCATAGGCCAGCTAGCAACTTTGTCCAGATGATGCACAAAGCGTACATTTGTATTTGTAATAAAATAATTACACACTTGTTCTCACTTACATCTCTTGTTGTATTATCTCTTTAAGTACCTGAAAAGAGAGATAGAAGGAAGAAGAGAGAAATTTAGAGTCATTTGTGCCCTTTAAATGCAAGTCACTTTTTCTTCCCTCCTAATAAATATTAAAAATTCTGAGGACTTTTTGGGTTCAGGATCTCAGATTTATTTTTTTATCACTTGCAAGTTTCTCTGTATTCCTAGCTTATTTGGAATTCAGAATCTTATTTTTAAAAAAATAGAGAAAAATTAAAGAAAAATATACTTTCCTGGTGTGTTCTGCTGTGGGAGGTTAAAGTTACTCCTCTCAATTAAGGGAACTCTGCAGGCATGGAGGAGGAGCTGTCTCTGGGAGTTTCCTCAGTGGGTCATGGGGTGGGGGATTCCTAAAGTCAGACACCAAGATCCTAATGGGAGGAGCAGTTTCTGTCTCCTGTGTTATTTGTATCAGTCGTCACTGTCAGCTCACAGTCTGGAAAGGAAGGGATCTTTCTAACACAAGGAGTAACAAGGTGAGAAGGCAAGAACCAAGGAGAGTTCTGCTTCTCTGCAGTCTTTACTCAGTATTTTTCACTTTATCTGCATTGTTCTCTTGTCTCTGAAACAACCATCTTTACGTCACCTTCACTTGGTTTTGTGGCTCACTGAGGTTTGTGTCACCATATCCTGTATTCTCCATCCCTGGACAAATATTTTCTGGACAAATATTTTCTCCTACTCCCCCCATAATTCACATTTTTTCACCCCCTTGTCTGTGCTGGGTTCCTCCATTAGACATGGGGGATTGAATGTGAAGCAGAATCTAGCACTGCGTCATGGAGCTCGCATATTCTAGGAGGAAATTGTCAGTATGCAGGCAGTCACACACAGAGACACAAACACGCTAGTTATTTGTATGCAAAGGGCTTTAAAGAAAAATAAAATAAGTTAAAACAGCACTTAAGATCAAAGAATAGGGGGATTGTTTTTACTTAGGTTGCTTGGGAAAGGTTTCTCTTGGGAAAGGTGATATCAGAGCAGAAGAAGGTAGGGGATGAGCCATGCCAAAATGTAGAGAAAAACATTCTGGGCAGAGAGAACAGTAACAACAGAGATACTGAGGAAGAGCATATTCGGGGAGCTCACGGTGGCTGGAGCAGAGAAGACAAGAGGTCAGACAGAGCAGTTAATTAGAGGACAGATTAGAAAGAGAGGGTTTTGGATTTTATTATGATTCCCATGAGAAGCCATTGGCTTTTTGTGAAGACACAGATAATATATGATCTATGATTTAATGAAGCACTGCTAGGAAAGTTGACCATGGGCTGAGTACTTGTAAAGCAGTATGACAGTAATGCAGCAGGAGAAAGAGGAGGACTCTAGGAGAAGGAGGAGGACTTCACCCAGAGTTACAGAGGTAGAAATATTATGAAGTGATAACATTTTGAATTTGGTCTCTGCAGCAATAATGATTTTACACAGGGTATGAGAAAAAGGAGAGGATTAAGAGTAATTTTCAAGCTTTTGGACAGAAAAAAGTTAAGAATGAAATACTGGTATTGCCATTTACTGAGAAGGAAAGAGAATACCAACAGATATTATTTGGGATAAAGGTTCAAATTTTCAGTTTTTAGTTTCAAATTTCATATTTGAAAATTCCAAGTTTTCGGTTTCAAAACTATGAAGTTTATGGTGCAATGATGTATCTAGGTGGAGACCCTCCCCTCTGCATCTCAGAGTGTAACTCCACTATTAAATATTTTTATGTAGCAAGAATATATCCAGGACAAATGATATCTCCCCATCACCCTCAAGTGGCATGGTCTTGCCTAGAATTTCCAACCCTAGTTCCTGGCAACACAGGAGAAGACATTTCCTATATATCTGTGTCAATAATTTTATCCTTATTTGGACACAGTCTGTTTCAGTGCTCCTAGACACCGTCACAAATTCAGTCCTTCCTCAGAAGGAATCCGAGGATTCAGCTATCATTTCATTCTTGCCAAGATTTATTGCAGTGACACAGCAAGAATGTGCAACAAAATCAGTGAGAGCAAAATATTCCAACCAGTGCCTAGTACTAAACCCACCTGTGGATGAACTTTCTGTGCTCTCTCAGCCGCACTGTCTGTCCAACCCCCAAATATGTAGGATAGCCCCCAAATATCCTACACACACACACATACACACACACACACACACACACACACACACACACACACACACACAGAGACAGAGAGAGATTCCAGCGTTTTCTGATTGCCTGGCCACATAGGCACAATGACGAAGCACAGTTATCAAAACTCTGGACTACAATCTAGAAGGAAACTAGAGGATTAGTGCACAGACAGGAAAATATTCTTAAAATTTAGAGAACTTTCCAAAGTCCCCAGACTCCAGTCACAGGCCTGTCACACCAGCACATTCTTCTGAAGATCAGACTTCACATTCTAACTCTTTTTGCCTAATTACAGATTTGAGAGCAGGGGTCCTAGCGCCAGGTATAAATCAGTGGGACCTGGCATTCTGTGGTTTTGTTTGTTTGTGGTTTGTCTGTTTTTGGGGATGTAGAGCTAAGTCAGGTGATCACCTACAGCTGGGAGCCACTAACTGAAGCCATGCAGAGCTCAGCACAGGAGCACTCACCTGCAGCAAACTTTCCTAAGAGGAAACATAAAGGCATAGGGAGGCGCTTGAGAGACCCCTCTTGAGTTCCCACACAAATCGTTTCCCAACTCTGTTACACCATCTGCGAAGGGATGAGAGATAAGTTAGGCGTTCCTAATATCCTCTCATCTCTGCAAACAGAGGCAGAGAAGACAGTCAAGAGTGTAAACACACAGGCATCTTGGCCACTGCTATTTCCCCATCTATCCCAACTCTCCTTGGAATCCAGAAAGCTGCCCCCACACCCTCCCCTCTGCGGTGCTTTTCTGTGGTGAGCTGTAAGATCTAGTGAAGCAAAGCCTGCCTTTAACTGGTCTCCATTCTGCATTAGTGTCAAAAGTGACAAGATAATTTTACAGCAGAAAGAGGAAATGCACTTGTTTTGTGAGTAGGAGAGAGAGAGATTAAAACTTGAAGAGTCATGAGTGCTTCGTGGGGAATTTTAAAGGCAAGTCTTCCTATGACAGCTCTACATATGGATAGATCATAGATTTCCAAGGGGAACTCTTTACCGTACTTTCTGTCCATCATCTTTTACGGCTGTTATGAGAAAATGGGCCACATGTTACAGATCAGAAGGCGCCAAGATGAAATAAGAAACTAGATTTTTTTTTTTTTTTTCTGATACCGGGAATTGAACTCACAACCTCCTGCTTGCCAGGCAGGCACTGTGCCATTGAGCTAAGTTCCCAGCCCCAGAAACTAGATTTTTCAGCCTCTGCCTCAGAATTAAGAGATCTAGATGCCAGACCTCTCTCTTTATGGTAAAGTTAACAGGCACAAAAAGGTAGATCATAAATTAGACATGTATTGAATCTCTATTAATGAACAAGGTTGATAATAATATTATACTGTAATGATAATTCCCTAAAATTATGTTTCAAGTGCCTTTTCTTCCCTTATTTTCCCTCTCTTTTGCTTACCAAAGTTTTCCTTGTCTACAAGTCTTTCTTATCAACATATAAGCACAAGTTAATACTCTTAAGCTTAAAATATTCTCTCATGAATTAGATTTCACCACGAATCTATTTCTCTGTTGTTCTTAACAAAGTCCTCACTAAAGGTTTTTGACACGATGCTACCTCGAATTTATCACCTATTCATTGTTAGACCTGCTCCAAAGTGGATTTCTACCCAGGTAGTCTCTAGAAATCTGCTCTTAGAAAATACATTGAGAAATTTTATGTTGATTGATCTAGTAGAGTTTCATCATTTTAATTTTCTCCATCTTTAGAATTATGTGTATCATGATTGATTATCACTTTGTAGTTTTGGGGGCACTCTACTGATTCAATTTTCCTTATAAATTATGGATCTTCCTCCTAATCACATATGTATGTTCACCTGCATGTGAGCACACACATATATAGAGAGATAGAGAGAGAGATCAATGAATTTTTACATATG